CTGTACTCATTTTCTAAGGATTGAAGGCCAGGGTGACATATTAGTTAACATTTATTGAAGGTTTCCTATACCAAGCACTCTACTAAGTACTTTACATGCATTATTCTAATTGTCTCAGCAATCCTGTGAGCAATTCTATTATTGTCCCTCTTTTTTAAAATGAAGAAACTGAGACTTAAATGATGTGTCTATGGTCATATAGCTAGTAAACAGCTGACTGATTGCAAGGCATATTATATATATATATTTCTGAGACAGGGTCTCACTGTGTCACTCAGGCTGGAGTGCAGTGTGGTACAATCACAGCTCACTGCAGCCTCTACCTCCTGGCTCAAACGATCCTCCTACCTCAGCCTCCCAAGTAGTTGGGCCTACAGGTGTGCATCACCACCCCTGGCTAATTTTTAATTTTTTTGTGGAGATGGGGTCTTGCTTTGTTGCCCAGGCTGGTTTTGGACTCCTGGGCTTAAGCAGTTCTCCCTCCTCAGCTTCCCAAAGTGTTGGGATTACAGGCATAAGCCACTGCATCGGGCCAATGCTTATATTCTTAACCCTTGTATTAATTATTTTGCTAGGGCTGCCATAACAAAATACCACAAACTGGGTGGCTTGAACAATGGGAATTTAAGGCTGGGCGTGGTGGCTCACACCTGTAATTCCAGCACTTTGGGAGGCCGAGGCGGGCAGATCACGAGGTCAGGAGTTCGAGACCAGCCTAGCCAATATGGTGAAATCCTGTCTCTACTAAAAATACAAAAATTAGCTGGGCGTGATCGCATGCGCCTGTAGTCCCAGCTACTCGGGAGGCTGAGGCAGAAGAATCGCTTGAACCCGGGAAGCAGAGGTTGCAGTGAGCCGAGATCACACCACTGCACTCCAGTCTGGGTGACAGAGCGAGACTCGTCTCAAACAAACAAACAAAAAACAAAACAAACAACAACAACAAAAAACAATGGGAATTTGTCGTTTCACAGTTCTGGAGGCTAGAAGTCTGAAACCAAGGTGTCAGCAGGGTTGATTCCTTCTGAGAGCTCTGAGGGAGACTGTTCCATGCCTCCTTCCTAGCTTCTGGTGATGGCCAGCAATCCTTGGTGCTCCTCAGCTTGCAGCTGCATCTTTCCAAACTCTGCCTCTGTTGTCATGTGAGCACTGTATGTCTCTATTTTCTTTTTCTTTTTTTTTTTTTTGAGACGGAGTTTCACTCTTTCTCCCAGGCAGGAGTGAAGTGGTGTGATTTCGACTCACTGCAACCTCCGTCTCCCACGTTCAAGTGATTCTCCTGCCTCAGCCGCCTGAGTAGCTGGGATTATAGGTGCCCAGTACCACGCCCGGCTAATTTTTGTAGTTTTAGTAGAGACGGGGTTTTACCATGTTGACCAGGATCACCTCAAGTGATCCACCCACCTTGGCCTTCCACAGTGCTAGGATTAAAGGTGTAAGCCACCGCACCCGGCCTTATGTCCCTATTTTCACATGGTCTTTTTCCCTTCTTAGAAAGGCAACAATAATGTTGGATTAGGGCCAACCCTAACAGCCTCATCTTAACACGATTGTATCTGCAAATACCCTATTTCCAAATAAGGTCACATTCGTAGGTACTGGAAATTAAAACTTCAACATCTCTTTAGGGGACACAATACAACCCGTAGCAACTCTTATTGCAAAACTCTCCTCAAATCCCCATGGAAAAATAGTTGCTCACTCTTCTTTAACCACTCCCATCAAGAACAGCCAAAGAGTTCTTTGTTTTGAACTACAGCAATACTTTTTTTTTTTTTTTTAAGATGGAGTTTTGCTCTTGTTGCCCAGGCTGGAGTGCAGTGGTTTCATCTAGGCTCACTGCAACCTCTGCCTCCCAGGTTCAAGCGATTCTCCTGTCTCAGCCTCTGGAGTAGCTGGGATTACAGGCATGTGCCACCAAGCCCGGCTAATTTTTGTATTTTTAGTAGAGACGGGGTTTCGTCATACTGGTCAGACTGGTCTGGAACTCCTGACCTCAGGTGATCCGCCCACCTCGGCCTTTCAAAATTATGGGATTACAGGTGTGAGCCACCGCACCTGACCTGCAGGAATAGTTGTTAAAGGGTGTTCTGAGATCAGCAGCATTGATATCACCTGACATACAGGATCTCAGGCCTCATTTCAGATCTAATGAATCAGAATCTACATTGTAGCAAGACCCCTGAGTGATTTGTATGAATTTTGATATTTTTTGTTTGTTTTTCAAAGTATTACTATCTTTATTATGGTATAGAGTAGTATTTTATACATTAGCTCATTTTATAGCAAAAACATATATGTACAACTGTAGAGAAACCACTGCACAGATAGCTCCAACTTAAATTAGAAAATGTTTTGCCGGGCATGGTGGCTCATGCGTGTAATCCCACCACTTTGGAAGTCCGGGGGGGGGGGGGGGTGGATCACCTGAGGTCAGGAGTTCGAGACCAGCCTGGCCAACATGGTGAAACCCCGTCTCTACTAAAAATACAAAAGTTAGCTGGGCATGGTGGCAGGCGCCTGTAATCCCAGTTAACTCGGGAGGCTGAGGCAAGAGAATCTCTTGAACCTGGGAGGTGGAGGTTGCAGTGAGCCGAGATCACACCATTGCACTCCAGCCTGGGGGACAAAAGTGAGACTTCGTCTCAAAAAAAAAAAAAAAAAGAAAAAAGAAAGAAAATATTTTATCTGTAGAAAATAGTGAAAATTATAACATTTATCAAGGTAGCCCAACAAGTTCATTTAAACCACATAGTAGCTACCCACATTATACACTTATAAATAAAGGTTGAATTCTGGAATCCAGGAGAAACTTTAGTTTCATTTATTGAAGCAGCCATATTTTAAGTTATGTGAAGTGAAATTTCTATTGATCTTCCCTCTTACTCTTAATTTATGCCTGATTATTTTTCTTTAAGCTAAATCCATAATCCACAACAAGGTTTTAGCTGTTCTTTTTTTTTTTTTTTTTGAGACGGAGTCTCGCTCTGTTGCCCAGGCTGGAGTGCAGTGGCACAATCTCGGCTCACTGCAAGCTCTGCCTCCCGGGTTCAAGCCATTCTCTTGCCTCAGCCTCCCGAGTAAGCTGGTTCTACAGGCGCTCGCCATCAGGCCCGGCTAATTTTTTTGTATTTTTAGTAGAGACGGGGTTTTACCGTTTAGCCAGGATGGTCTCGATCTCCTGACCTCGTGATCCACCCGCCTTGGCCTCCCAAAGTACTGAGATTACAGGTGTGAGCCACGGTGCTTAGCTGTTCTTTCCTAAAGGATGGGTACCATATCCTTTTAATCTGTTTGATAAGGTACCCATGCCTATCCAAATAATGAAATGGTTCGGTTGTTATTAAAGCATGCCCAGTATTTGGGCAAAACCAGATTCTAATAAATTAAACTGTCACCTAATACCCATGGCTTGATGGGAAGCCATGAGGAACAAGGGTAAAGTGATAAAACTGGCAAGTGGATCAAAGAATAAAAGCCAAGAGAATTCTGAGACCAGAGGGCAAGAAACATCTAGTCAGGATTCAAGGACAGAACTTAAGTTCAAATAGAAAAAGGATGTTGCCTCAAGGATCAGGAACTGAGCTGGCTATCAGAGCCCCTAGTATGTGGTGATCAAACAAGGGGCAGTTAGAGATTAAAGACTGGATTAAGGAAGAGAAACCAAGACCTAGAAAGATTCTAGGTATTCACAATAATTAAATGAAAACAAGACAGACCATGTGGCTTTAAATTTCCGAGCATAGTATGTTCCAGGATTCCCAGTACAGAAAGAATCTCTGGAAATTAAGGCGAGAAGATAATGCGACTCTTAAGTTCCTGTACTATGTAGAATGTTTCCCAGAGAAATAATATCTGAGAAATCAGGCAGAGTTATCTGGCCAGGGGGTACATCAAGTTCTTCAGTTCCCTCAAAACAACTGAACCACATACAATTTGTCTTAAAAGGAAGCATCCAAGCAGCTAAAACAAACTTTCAACAGAGATTCAGTTTAACAAACAGATCCTGTACTGTGGCTTTAGGAATTAGGCCATTGACTACCTAAAAACCCCAGCTTGCCCACTTGAAGTTAACCTCTAGAAACATTAGTGATCTGTGAAGTGTTCACCATTAAAACAATGCTTTATCATGCAAATCATACTTGTTCTTCTCTTTGCTCTCCAGTTATGAATTTTCTACCTTTTTGCATTTGATTATTTCCAATGGTTTTTTTTTTTTTTTACATACTCTTCAGCAATGCAAATCTGTGCCCCCTACTCCCTTAAGTCCTTCTTGGTAAATAATGTTAACCTTCCAATAGGAAGAAGCAGAGTACATTATCAGTTAAGCACCAGTTATCCAGACTTCTTACAAAGAAAGCTATGGAGCTACCTTATACATTTGAAATTCCTTAAAGACCCTGGCTTTCTATTAAAATGTACTTTTATATATCCTATCTGTGAAGAATTCACTGAAGCATGAATCACCTTATAATGAGAAGCTAAAAATGCATCAAAATGCACATAAGTATAGGTAATCTATATCAAACATGCTACGTCTTCCAAATCTAGAGCATACACTGGTATAAACTCTATTACAACCCAGCTAAGTTTGAAATCTTGTTTCAAAACATTGCTCAGTATTAAGTCTCAGTAGACAAATAATAGGACCACATGAGAAATTGTTTGACAGGTGGCTGAGAAAACCTTAACTTCCAAAGGCTCAAAGTGGTCCTCCAGAGACTGTTACACTCCCTTAAGTATTTACTTTAGGGAAGGACACTATTAAGGGACACTTTTGAATATAAAGACAGGTGAACTCACAAAGTATAGGCAGATACATGCTTGATTTTATCTTCTAATCTATAAATAATGCATTAGAATAAAAATGTAATGAATTCATACACCTTTCAAAAAGAAAAACTGATGAAGAAGTAGCAATAAAGTTATAAATGATAATGATCACATGAAATAATTTAGATGAAGCTTGTCTGTCTGAAAGAGACAGGGACTCAGCAAGTGGTCAAAAGGAAGCACAACGTGCTTTTAACTTTGTATGAAAAATAATGTTCAGTTCTATATTGCCAAACATCATTCTCTTTTTGCTATATAAATCTTCTAGTTCTAATTATTGACCAAATGCTTTACTGAAACTCCTCTTCTGGCCTTTGTTTTGGGATCTGTCACTTTTGTTGCTACCTCCTGGTTGCTGTCCTCTCGGGCCTCTATTGCCTTCCCGCTGTCCTCTGAATCTTCTGTTTCCGTCCCGCTGTTCCCTGAAGCCTCGACTGCCTTCCCTCTAACCCCTGAAGCCTCCATATCCTTCCCGTGGTCCTTCTAGCTCTAGTTGCTCTGTGGCCACAGAAAGCTGCCAGCGTGGTGAATCATGCCATTTTTCCTGTATTTCTGTTACTGATGTGGTGGATACATCAAAGCAAACACCCAGCTTTCCTTTGAGAAAAACCATTCCTTTCACTTTGGAATCAATCTCCTCGACCAGCTGCTCTTTTAAGTTCTTTCCAAGCATAACTAATATTTGGCATTTCAATTGAGCACCGCAAGATCATGGTCACAAAACCCACATTTAAGTTGATCAAGGAGCGCTGGTCTACGGACATGGCACCTGAAATATGGGCCAGTGTTGCTGCCAGAGCTTCCACAGCTCCCTTCTCCTCTATCAGCTTCTCAGCTGATTGCTTAAAGTGACTAATGGCAGTGGGAGGCATGGAATCCGAAAGCCTGATGGCATCTTTGCTGGAAACTTTTATTTCTGTTGCAGAAGGAACACCTATTCTTTTCAACTTAATTCCCACTTTTTGCTCCACTTATACTAATTGATATTCTTCCTTGTGCTGATAAAAGCAGATGCACACCCCCGTCCTTCCAGCTCTGCCCGTCCACCCAGATCGATGAATGTAGGACTCAACATCCTTTGGTGGAGAGCTTTGTATAACCAAATGAACCTCAGGGATGTCTAACCCACGTGCAACGACATCAGTTGCTACCAAAACTCCAAAACTACCATTTCTAAAACCTTTCAGGGTGATTTCCCTTTGCTTCTGTGGAATGTCTCCATGCAATGACTGGGCATCCTGCTTTATAGCCGAATTCTGGGACAGCTCCTGGGCTTCTTTCTTGGTTTCACGAAAGATGATAGTGCGTCCTTGATGACCACTATATACTCGGATGACCCAATAATTGCTGCCCTCTGAGTCCAGTGGCACTTAATAGCCAGATGCTCTATAGTTTTTGCCATTTTCTGAGTCTTTTTACCGATCAGGTCCACCTGTTCATATGTAGATTTCATGTATTTCTTGGCAACATTAAATACCCAATGAAGGCAAGTTTCAGAAAAAAAGCAATGTTTGGGGATTGTCTTCAGAATCTTTCTTGTATGCCACACTTAAAATCTCTTCCACTTGATCAGCAAATCCCATATCCAACATCTGCTCAACTTCATCCAGGACAACATGCTTAAGTTTGGTGAGATCTAGTTTGACATTCTGTATGCGGTCTTTGATAGGACCTGGTGTCCCAACCAGGATATCAATCCCATTCCCCATGCATTCGAATTGACCTCCATAGGGAGTTCCACCATAAAAACAAGCCACTGACAGCCTTTTTGTGATGTCACTGAAGTCTTTGCTTACTTGATTTGCCAACTCTCTTGTAGGTGCAAGAACCAGTACCCGAGGGGGACGGCCTCTCTTCCTGTCTTGCAGTTCCCCATGAAGTTTCTCAATCAAAGGGATGGCAAAGGACAATGTTTTCCCAGTTCCTCTCCATGCCTGTGCAATTAAGTCCTTCCTGCTGTAAACATGATGGAATGTCTTTGCCTGTATAGAAAATAGGAAGGTCAGTCCTCAGCCTTTGAGAAGCTTAATAGTTTCTTCAGATATGGGACAATTAGAGAAAGTGCCTTCTTTTTGTTTCACAGGTATTTCCTGCTCTGTCTCACTGTTACTTTCTTCATTGGCAGCTTTATTGGGGTCACAGTCAGGTTCAGAATGAGGAAATCCGTTCTTCAGTTTGGGGCTTTTCTCTCTAGTTTCTCCATTTATTTCCTTTTCTTTCTTCATCTTCTTGGGCTTAGGAGCATCTGTTTCTTCCTCAGAAGGCTCCTCATTTTTTATCACTTTTTTGGTTTTAGAAGAAACCGCTTTCTTTTCAATAGGCTCCTTTTTCTTTCTCAAACTTTTGGTTTTAGGAGAAATGTCATCTTGAGATGGCTCCTCTTTCTTTTTTGCCTTTTTGGATTTAGGATAATTCATGTCAATTTCAGAAGGCTCTGTTTTCTTTTTAACTTGTTTAGCTTTGGGGGAAACAGTTTCTTCCTCTTCCGCTGTCTCTTCAGTCTTACTAGATTTTGACTTCTCTTTTTTCTTTCTTTTCAGTTTGCTTTCATAATGTCTCCACTTTTTTCATTGTGGTGTCTGATTCCAAACCAGCATTACTATGGAGTCTTCCCAGCATCTTCAGTGCAGGCTGCCCAGGCCGACCGGTCTTCTCCACTTCGATGTTTAAGAAGCACCGATCTAGGGAATTTGAACAGTTATCTTTAGGTTGTGGCTACTATGGAGTGAATCTGATGAACACTTGCCTGGTAGGGAGAGTTAAATTCATTTTTTGTCTTTGATGCTTCCAATTAGAAATGTAAATATATCTTCATTATGGAAAAATTGGAAAGTGCAGAAGAGTATAAAGAAACAGCAGAATCGTTATTGACAATAATCTCACCACCTAGAGATACCACTGCTAACATTCTGAAACATTTCCTCCTATTTTTATTGCTTCCTTACTTTTACCATAGATAAAGTCAAAATTCTTAATATGCTTAAACTTTATATACTGATACAATTTTATTAGTTAATTTGTATTACTTCACAGTTTTGTGTGGTTAAAACCCAGGAAAATACGTGTATTTATGAATTTTACAATTTTGCAATATTATTCCTTTGTAACAACTAACACCTTGATTTTAGGCCAGATGATCATGGCTGCAGTTTCAGTCTGATAAAAGCATATTTACTCTTCAGTATGCTTAATTTGTAGCTTAATTTTCTTAGAAGTAGTGTATCTTGTCTTTACTCTGTTATCAGATTTTATATTTTTTAGTTTCTAAGAAAAGTTCAAACTTTAAAATTTCTTTTTTTTTTGTAGTCTGTATTAAACAAAAAGAATACTTTCTACCTATGCAACCATGTTGACATTACTATTACATATCACAGGGAAAGTGGTACAAATTGGGGTATTGTAAGACTGGTTACTGCTAAACTTGACCCCAAAGGTAATTATAGTTTCTTTTTAATTAGCTCCAATGATTTAAAAATTAATTCAAAATATAGCAATTCTCAACTAGAATCTTCACTTTTGGTATATCTGTGTGATATAACTTTAGGCATACATTTTGAAAAATCAAACGGGCAATTTTACTCCTTCTACCTATAGTAAGTATCCGGATACCATGCAATGTGAGGAAAAACTGATAGGTCTGGAAGAGAATAGACTTATTGAGGGTATCCTAACTCTCTTCATTTAGCTGCTGTCATATGACACAGGGGTTAGATTTAGATTTGTGTTTCTTCAGAGGACAGATCTAATATCAGTGGAATCTATTAGGAAGGTATCAGCTGAGTCTGCTAATGATTAGAGCCTTCTAGCAGTTGACAAGCAACCTCAAGAATTAGTGAGTACTTTATCCCTGGACGTACGTAGGAAGAGCCTGGATGAGCCAGCTCTTAGAGATAACACAGCATAGTACCTATTAAGCAAGGAATTGTAAAGGGCAATTCTGCATTGGGTATGAGATCAAGATCAGACAGGTGGCCTTTAACATTCCAATTCTAGGATTCTTTAAACTGTAAGATAAGATTATTACTTACTCCTTTTTTTTTTTTTTTTTTTTAACAGAGCCTCCCTATTTTGCCCAGACTGGAGTGCAGTGGCATGATCTTGGCTCACTGCAACCTCCGCCTCCCAGGTTCAAGTGATTCTCCTGCCTCAGCCTCCCGAGTAGCTGGGACTTTAGGCGCATGCCACCACGCTCAGCTACTTTTTGTATTTTTAGTAGAGATGGGGTTTTACCACATTGGCCAGGCTGGTCTCGATCTCCTGATCTCAAATAATCTGCCTGCCTTGGCACCCAAAGTGCTGGGATTACAGGTGTGAGCCACCACGCCCGGCCCTATTCTTCAATTAAGAAAGGTAAAGAGGGGACTATATCACACAATGTATAAAATCATGATCCACTGTGGGCAAGGTATTACAAAACCTGAAATATTAGAATGGAGAAAATTATCCCTTGAAACTTAAGTGAAGTGGATTAATATATTAAATGAGGCAGGTATGTTTTCTTTTCTTTTTTTTCTTGCACTGTTGCCCAGGCTGGAGTGCAGTGGCGTGATCTTGGCTCACTGCAACCTCTGCCTCCCAGGTTCAAGTGATTCTCCTGCCTCAGCCTCCCGAGTAGCTGGGACTACAGGCGCGCACCACCACGCCCAGCTAATTTTTGTATTTTTAGTAGAGACGGGGTTTCACAATGTTGGCCAGGATGGTCTCGAGCTCTTGACTTCGTGATCCGTCCACCTTGGCCTCCCAAAGTGCTGGGATTACAGGCGTGAGCACTGGTGCCCGGCCAGTTGTGTGTTTTGTTTTTTTTTTTTTCTAACACAGAACAAGGACTTAGGAAGTCTGGAGTTTAGTCTCATCTCTGCTGGTTCCATTTTGGAAAGCAATCCTGAATTTATAAAAGTGAATTCACCTTCATTGTTTTTAGGCTATTTTACTTTAGCCAAAGTTGTTCCATATTATAACAGCTGATGGACAAAGGGAAAGAACAGTTAGAGAATGTATTGTGTGGATTTTTTTTTTTTTTTTTTTGAGATGGAGTCTTGCTCTGTTGCCCAGGCTGGTGTGTAGCGTCATGATCTTGGCTCACTGTAACCTCTGCCTCCCATGTTCAAGCGATTCTCCTGCCTCAGCCTCCCGAGTAGCTGGGATTACAGGCGCTTGCCAACAAGCCTGGCCAATTTTTGTATTTTTAGTAGTGACGGGGATGGGGTTTTGCCATATTGGCCAGGCTGGTCTTGAACTCCTGAACTCAGATGACCCACCTGCCTCAGCCTCCCAAAGTGCTGGGTTTACAGGTGTGAGCCACTGTGCCCAGCCTGTGTGGATCTTTATAGACTTAATTTTCTCATCTGCAAAATGAGAAGACTGAATTAGGAGTTTTTAATGTGGAACCTGATGCATCAACTCCTGGGAATTTTTATTTGTGTAGTTTCCTGAGGAAAAGAGTCCATAAATTTCATTACATAAACAGTCCCATAATAGTGAAGAACACTGGTACTTTCCAACTCCTTTTTTATGTCATAGTTTTTTTTTTTCTTTTTTTCTCAGTAAAACTTAAAAAAATTGTATACATTTAAGGTTTACAATTTGATGTTTTGATATACATACACATAGTGAAATTATTACTAGTCAAGCCAATTAACTTATCCATCTTCTCACATGGTTACCCTTTTTTTTTTCTGTGATGAGAGCACCTAAAATCTATTCTCATAGCAAATTTTCAGTATATAGTATAATATTATTACCTATAATCCTCATGCTGTATATTAGATCTCTAGACTTATTCTCCCTACATAACTTCAAGTTTGTACCTTTTGACCTACATCTCCCCATTTCCTTTCCCTCCCCATCCCTGATAACCACTGTTTTACTCTGTTTCTATGTATGAATTTTGTAAAGATTCCATAGATTAGTGAGGTGATGCAGTATTTTCTTTCTGTGGCTGGCTTATTTCACTTAACAATGTCCTCTAGGGTTCAAGTGATTCTCCTGCCTTCATCCTTATTGTTGCTAATGACACTATCTCTTTCTTTTTTTAAAACATTTAAAAGGCTAAATAGTATTTCATTTTCTGTGTGTACATGTGTGTATTTGTGTGTACCACAATTACTTTATCCATTTATCCCTCAATGGACACTTAGGTTGTTTTCATATCTTAGTTATTATTCACAATAGCTATTTGTTTCCAGACATATATCTGGAAGTGGGATTGCTGGATTATATGGTAGCTTGATTTTTTAACTTTTTGAAGAATTTACATTCTGTTTTCCATAATGGTTGTACTGACTTACATTTCCACCAACAGCACACAAGGGATCCCTTTTCTCCACACCCTCGCCAACACTGGTTATCTCTTGGCTTTTTTTTTTTTTTTGAGACAGAGTCTCACTCTTTCGCCCAGTTGCCCCAGGCTGGAGTGTAATAAGCGCGATCTCGGCTCACTGCAACCTCTACCTCCCGGGTTCAAGCAATTCTCCTGCATCAGTCCCCAAGTAGCC